TTCCCAGTGGCCATTTAGTCCACATTAATGACAGGGTCCTTTCTTCTGAGGTTGGGCCATATTTTCTCTGGGCTGATGAGGGGGGCGTTCTGGAGCACGTCTAATAGACTCTCGGAACTTGGGACTGTGTGACCTTCAGTTGGTAAAACTTCGTTCATGACTCTATTGAATTTAAAATTTGACCTCTGTTTGTGACCATTTTAAAAAGCTTCACACTCAAGCGCCAAAGTGACAGCATGTTGTAAGGAGGAGGGCTTCCCTTGATAGACAGCCCATTCTAATTCCGCATCACAGAGAGAATCTACGAAACAATTTGTTGCCAGGTGTTCTCTAGTACCAGAGGAAACATTGGGGTATGCGTGTCTTTTAAAGATTTTATGTCATGAGCTAGATATTCTAATTTTTGTCCCCTTTTTCTCATTTTATTTTTCAGTTTTGCACGATACAATTCTGACTGGTTTCTGGGCTCAGATCGGAAGCCTAATACATTTACTAAATGTTGATAATTTCGTCGCATGTCAGGGTTGATGTCGCTAAGACCTGTCCGAGCATCGCCTCTGAGGCTTGTTAAAAGCTCTTGAGCTTTTGTTACGTCACTCCAGTCATTGAGTTCCGCTTTCATTTCAAACTAAATAAGATAATCTGACCAGGAGGTCTTGCCATCGTAATTTGCGGGCTTTTTGTTTCTACTTTCCACAATAAATGGTTATACAGACCGCAAATCAGGTCGGGAAAAGTCGGGTCGTGGATGATCAATTTCTTTGGTAGGATAGCATATAATGTCCGTTACTAGACAATCACTTTCTGTGTTATTGTGGGGGCAATTCATCCTGTGATCTACACAGGGATAATAATCATTTGTGTTTAATTGAGAGCCATTGATTAGACCGGTATTACTTGCATGAAACCCTCTATCAATGCACTCATCTTTCGTATTCTCTGGAAACACTTGTAGAGCCGTCAGCACGCAAATTCCCGTCCTTGGAATAACCCCTGCTGACACCCTCATAACATGGACTGGGACGTATTGAGCCGTCAGCACGCAAATTCCCACCCTTGGAATAACCCCTGCTCACACCCTCGTAAACTGGGCTGGGAAAACTCCGTTCCCGGGAAATCCTTCGAGTCTGATGCATGACGTGCGCTCTCGTCTGGAGAGCCAACGACGCTACTCTCTGTTAAACAACTGGATGCCGACATTTGGCCCAGGACCACTGAATTGCAGACAGGGGCAAATTAAATAGATTCATTTTTATGTGTATCTCCGCAAGCAAAGTTTGAACAATTATAATCCATTGGAGGAGAGCCGTTCAAAATAACTTCACCACTAGGGGTACCCAACATTTCTGGATCGGTCAACACATCGGGCTTGAGGGTAAGCCCTAACTGAACAAGTTCTCTTTCGCTACTGCCATGCATATCCATTAAACTCTGCGTACTTGACGCAGGACTACAGGGTTCCTCATGTTTAAAAACATCTTTTAAAAATTCACGAGTAAAAATTTAACCAGATCTGATCTCGAGAACTAAGCTTCTACTGGTTTACTCACTAGCGCCACGCGGTCTTTTCATTGGAAAATGAATAACTTTTCAATGGTAATTCCTAATAGAAAAATGTGATAACAGACTTATTCAATCTCTTTATGTTCTGAGTACAGTTTTGGATGCTATATGGATATTATTCAAAAAAATATTTGGACTAGCATTTCTAAGAATACAGAAATTTTATATTCGAAAACATGGAATTGTGTCATTCCTGTTTGATTAGTTTGATATTCAAATTTTTAATTATACATATAATTATATAATTTTTATGCAATAATCAACTTAAAAAAAATAAACGAAAATATACGATACCCATTCGATTATCTTGTTAGGCTTATTCGATGTTTTCTTATACTTATTCAATACTTGCATTCTGGTTATAATATGGGGCGGGGGGGAGAGAACTGATTGAGTTATAGAATGAGAATGACAAAATAAACTTGTATGCTGTAAGTTTGTCAGTAGAAATGAACATATTGCATATATATCATTGTTTTATCGAATACGAAAGACAAAATTATAAAAGAGGAATCTACTTGTGTGCCAAGTTATATTGAATAACAAAACTGTAGATCGAATAGGAATCTGGTTCATATTTTGTCAAATAGGAAATGCTTTAGAATATCAATAACAATTTTTTTAAAGTGAAATAACAACAAAATATATATATAGTATATATACATGGACAAAGTTTTACACACTATAGTCTATGTAAATACGTTTGCATATTGTTAAACTCCCTTTCGAGAACTTTTCACTCATATGGAGACGCCACCATTTGCGGGCAGAGAAAGCTGCAAATTTTATCCTATACTTGGCGCCATTGAAAAGTGAGTGATCTTAGTCGTGCCAGCACCTACCGCGACACAGGACCTCAGTTTTCACGGTCTCATCCGAAGGACCGGAATCCACGTCCAACAGTGGGATTCAAACACTCGACGTAAGAATAAACTCCTTACTTTGCGACTCTAGAGCAGACGCTTTAATAATTGCGAGGGCGACCATACTCAGGTTGATAAATTGTTTTTGAAATCCTCAGACAGGAATGCACTTACCTATACAAGAAATAGTAGCTTACGCAACGTTTCAATATTGATATTCTCCCATTCCAATCCTTATGTTTTCTTCTCAGTGGTTTCATTTTACCACAAAATCCACACATAGCATGCTATTGTTTCTCATTTTGCGTAGGAAATTTTTAAAAGACAAAGATAGTCGTGTCGCACGAGGATGAAAAAAAAATGTTTAGGTTTTTGATTCGTAGGTGACTCTGATACAGAAGGAAGTACAGGGTGTTTCACAATATATGTCACACATCTAAATGGGCATAATTTGAATACGTGCATGATGCCGAAAATACCAAAACACTATAAGTAAGCATATTGATCTAAAATTATGATATTGCAAAGCATTGGAGAAATTATAATATACCATGAAGTAACTGATGATATAATCAGTGATGTCCGTGAATTTCAGCTTTCTCAAAACAGAACAACTTGCAGCAAAGATTTGTTCTAAACTTTTATTATTATGGCTTCTTTTCTTATCCTTTGTTATAAGTACAAACCAGTAGAGCTACAGCCTCGACAGAGACTTCTGGTTCTAATGCATGACAATACCCGAAAAGAGAAAACGGAGATCGAGAATAAAGTTATAAAAATTTGATTGATCCAAACATGTTATTTTTCAACTCTCAACACCCAGGGTATATTGGGAATCAGGAAGTCCGAGAATAATACCGATTAAAACTTGTCATAATCCGTTGTAATATTAAATAATATTTTACGTATATAAAAATAGTATTTGAATCGATTGCCACACACACAAATAAAATAAATTTCTTCAATTCCAAAACATTTAAAATTCGTAAGGAATTTTAGAGCAACAGTTAACATTCCCGTACATATGCTCATTCTTTATTTTACACTACAATGTCGCGCAGTCACGTTATATGTATTTGTATAAAACGCTTAAAACAAGAAACATATTGACGCAAGCGTCAAAAATCGGCCGCAAACAAATTAATTAACTGTTGATAATTAATTAGAAACTGAAATTTGCTGTGACCTGTTTTTTTTTTTTTTATTTCTTATATTTATCTATTAAAATATCCTCATGACACGAAAAAAAAATGCATGCGGCATTGCCGATTTTCTTCATGCATTTACAATATTACATGTAGGCAATATAAACGGTCCTTAGACCTCTGCGTTTCTGCACTCAGTTTGGTACTTAAATTGTAAACGAAGTCTGGTAAGTTTGCTGTTTAAGTAGTTTTTACATAAAAAGTACAAAATTAAAATTTAAACTTAGCTATAGTTTTACTTTAATAAAAACGCAACAAATATATAATATGTGGGGCTCCTCGCTCTTTCTTAAAGATGTTAACCCCCCCCAACTCCTTCTAGATCCACCACTACATTTCTTCTCTTTCAATCTCTTTGTTTTGAGTTGAGATGTGGCGGGAAAATGTTTGGCACATTGTAAAACGCGCTCTATCCTAGTCTCCTGGACTAACATGTCGTAATATTCTTTGCTTTTAAGAAATAAATATTTCATCAAATTTTTGAAAAACATCCATAGAAAATGTATAAATTAAGACTTCATTTCAAATAAATACAACAAATCCCGTTTAGGCTGTTTAAAAAGAGACAGTAAAATTGTTGATTTACAACGCGGTCTTTGTTTTAGACTATGCTTACACTCGTACTAATTTTCTCCGCACTTCAATCATATCAGAGTTTGTCAATCAGGATTGGATGAAACACTTACCCCATTATTTATAAAATTTAATTTTATGATTATTGTGCTTTTTGATAACATTTAAAGATAATGTTTGTTTAAAACTGATTCGCCGGCGATATGAATGTTGAATATTTTTATTTAAATTGCTAACTCCGCAGAAACGCACAGCGACTTAAAACTTTCATATCATATAACCGACCGCCTCCTGGCGGCCGGTAATGATAGGAAATGTGGGTGAAAGTGCAAAGCGCACTTCACATGATTTCTCGTCTGCTTTGGAAAGTGCAAGCTCAAGTAAAGGTGCGGAATGTCTAGATTTGGAAAGATAAAGCCAAGCGACTTTAAAGAAAGTTATTTAGTGTCGGCAAAAACGAAACATGCTACAAATTTTTCCATCAGAATATTTACAGACTTTTTGCATGAAAAGGGGGAGAGAAACCGATGTAATGAAATACAACAAAACTGATCTTTGTGAATGCTTACAGGATTTCTACAGCAATGTAAGAACAAAAACGTGGGAACTTTACAAAAAGAACTCTTTGTTAAATATACGTCAGGGGATTTGCAGGTACCTGAAAGAAAACGGATCAACAATTGATATTATCAGTGACCCGGGTTTTGGCCCTGCAAACAGCTGTTTTTCGTCCCTTTTAAGAAAAACTAGGGCAGAGGGCAAGGGGGGGGGGGGGAGTCAACCACCACCCTGCTATTTTGGCAGAAGATATAAGAAAACTTTATGAGCATAAGCTAGCTTTTAATACTGCTACACCGCAAGGACTTTTAAATAAAGTAATTTTTGAAATTGTGTTATATTTCTGCAGAAGAGGACAAGAAAACCTTCAAAATTTGAAGGTACATGATTTCGAAATCATGTCAGAAAATGGAGAACGTTTTGTAAAAAAAACTTAATTCTGAAATTTCGAAGAATCATCAGGGAACAACAAGCGAGACAGAGAGTTCAGGGGCACGTATGTACGAAATAAAAAACTCTCCTCTCTGTCCAGTCAAATCTTTTGAAAAATACTTGTCAAAAAGACACTTGGGAAGTGATCGACTCTTTCTTCATCCAAAAAACAGCTTCAGTGATGAGGACATAGTATGGTACAGAAATGAACCAGTAGGTTTGAACAAGTTGAAAATATTCATGAAAAATTTGTCTAAGAGTGCGGGTTTAACAAAGGAATACACAAATCATTGCATTCGATCAACGACAATTACACTTTTGAACAATTGTGGATTTGAATCCAGGCATATTGCAACAATAAGCGGTCACAGAAATGAAGCATCACTTGCTAGCTATTGCTATGATACTTCAGGTAACCACTTTTATTATCGCAGTGATCTACTCTATATATAAGTTTAACAAACAATATTATGTATAGTTTTTACAACCATGTACATATTTATCTTTCAGATCAGCAGAAAAAGGCTATGTCAGATGCTATCAGTGTTTGTGTTGGACATAAAATAGAACCTAGTGAAAAAAGTACACCCAAAGATGCAGGTTTGTTAAATTTTTATTTAGAGAGAGCGGTATAGTAATGATTATTGCAACCAAGTTACATTTTGCATGTAAACACTGATATCTTTTTGTAGAAGTAATATAGTGCAGTATACTACATGGACTTAATAATCAAGTGTTGTTTCTTTTCTTTTAGGGAAAGCTATTAAGTCAGGTGATGGTAAAAGAGGCACTTCAGTTGCAATCCAAAACACATATACATTGACAGGTTTGTAAATCTTATTTCACAAGATCTTTTGTTTAGCTCTAATTTAAAGATACTTGTAAATATCTATGTAAGCAGTGATTAAAAGTGATGATTAATTTACATGTACTGCATATTTTCTGTTTAACCAGATACATGTACTGAGATGAGTGATAATGATGATGCAGCACTCCTGAAGTGTGCCATGGATATGGAAAATAATTCTAATCAGCAGGCTGTCAAACCTATTTTCCAGTTTTCCGGATGCAATGTCACAATTCAGAACCACTATCATTAACACTTAAACAATTAATTCTGTTACATAAGGCCCTGTGTAAACTACATTACTTAGTCACTGTGTGAAGTTAAATTCATGAAAATAAAATCTTGAATTTGCATTTCATATCATATTATACAAAAACAGTCAGCATAATAATAATAATAGTGTCATTATTTGGATGTACTATGCCGAAATAGTATTCAGGGTTTGACACATAGTGGACTCGCCTCCGGCTCGTGCACAATGTGTCAAACCCTGAATACTATTTCGGCATAGTACATCCAAATAATGACACTATTATATAATTATAAGAACGATATCCTAAATATTGTACAGGATTGATGATGAAAAATATCCAGACCAGAAATTGCTGTTTAGTTTTCGTATATTAAGAATAATTGGAGATTTTGAACTAAAGTATAATATAAGGATGAAAGACAGTTAAACCCTGCCTCCTCTACCCCAGCCCCCCCCCCCCCCCCCCCCCCCCCCGAAGAAAAGAAATCAAGAAATGAGAACAATATCAAAATGAAGTCAATCATTGAGAAAAACTCATGAAAGTTAGATCTAATCTAGGGAAAAGGATTGAAGCAATGCCGGTAAGTGTATCAAGTGTATTTAAAAGTCTTAAATTTGAGTTAAGTTTGTCTGCATGCAAGATTTCAGCATTTTAAGTCGATTGACATTCAGAGCCGATTAAATTTTGCAAGATTGACTGAAAGGAAGAGCGAAAGAAGTGGACACCATCTAACAGGTAGTGTTAGTTCCGAAACGACACATTTAAAATACAACTTTAAATAACAATAGATATGCACTTTGGGGGTTCTAAAAAGCCAAGAAAAGCTTCAAGTATCCCATGAAACTTTCAAAGCAGTGGTCAGAAATTTCTTAGCATTTGTCTCTTATTTAGGACAATGTTGGGAAAACATTTGTAGAATGACATTTTAGGATTTGTTGCCATAGTAACTGAAGTGGAGAATGTTGGATACTTCTGACTCCAAAAAATAATTTTGAATAGATGCTGATTAAAATGATATATAAATTGTATATGTTGCTTTAGTTGTCATTTATCTATCTGTCTTTAGATATGTGACATATATTGTGAAACACCCTGTAGCTTCATTATAACCCAAGTAAAGCTTACCGTGTATACTCGTACATTGCGATATTGACCTATTGTGTACCTAGGATAATATAGAAAGACCTCGTTGGCTTGCGGGGATTTCCAAGAATTTCACCTTTATTTCAGACAGTGTCTTTAAATAATAAACGTATACACTTATCGCCCCCTAGCGCAGTTATTGATGCTACAATAGAGTCGCGGCAAAAGGAATTGATCACTACGTCGCGAGCTCAGCGTGGAGACGGTCCTTCGAATGAGACTGTATATATAAACCGAGGCACGGTGTTAAGTAGCTTGCGTAGGTGCTGGCACAAAAAGAAATCGGAATGTACTTTAAAACCCCAGTCACATTTCCAAAAACGACCAACGGCCGACGGTTTTTGAAGCAAAAATGGGATTCTTCGGGTGACAGTCGGCGATTCATCGGCCGTTGTCTTGCCCGATTTTGACCTCTTTTTTTGTCGGCCGACAAATTTTGTATCCATCGGTCCAAGTTATAATTTTTCTGCGTCGGTGGCCGATTTCTTCTATTAAATTTATCTATCGACCAACCTTCGATCATCGTCAGACCCTCGGCGCTCAGTTTATTAAGTCGGTCGTCCGTCGTTTGACAATAAAGGTGTCAAAAATTTCGGCCGACGGTTAAAATCAAACTGTAGCTCAAAGCTCGATGATCGGGCGACTATTGGCCGACTTGTGAAAATTTTATCTATAAAGGATTCACAACACAAACAAGATGTTGATGCATGGATTGATACATATTTTTTGAATGGAAATAATATTTAGAAATCCTAATTATTCTTTGCTGCTAACATATGCACCATTTCTCGTTTTTTATGTAACTCTATACAACATTTTGCACACATTTTCAACATTAAGCTACAATCTTACAAAATTCTGCCATCTCGCCTTGCAAACATTACTCACATCACCTATCTGAATATAGATCTATGAAAAATATTGCTGATTTCTAAAGAAAAAAAGATTTGTTGTGTAATTTATCCAAGTCATTGGTGTTCCTAGGAATTAATGTGACTGCTCCGTGTCGTCCGATGCTCATGTCGACCGATGTTTTTAGCCGACAAGACCAGAAAAAAATTGTCGCCCGACCATCGGCTTAAATGTGACCTAGGCATAAAAGGTGTAGCATCCTAGTATGCTTACGATTTCTAATGATAAAAAAAATATCCTAATATTCAAATGACACATTGTACATTCTTTTTGTTAAAGCTTGTTAAGGAAGCTCTTAACACTAACTAAGGAGTCGATCCATACGTCGCGGGTTGCAATAGGTGCTGACACGAAAAGGATCCCTCACTGCTCAATGACCACGAGTGCCGAGTATAGGACAAAATTTGTAGCTCTCTACCGGTAAGTGATGACGTCTCCATATGAGTGAAAATTCTCAAGAGGGACGATAAGCAAAATACAAACAAAAACAATGAGCAGATTTCAAAGCGTAAATTCATTTTATTAATCTATAATCATTAGAGCCCCCCCCCCTCAGGCCCTCTACGGTACGCCTGATCCAGGGGCATTTAAATTTACATTTCTGAAAGAAGAACCCTTGTTAATTATAACTAAATGTAGCGAGCCTGTTTAATACACCAGAATGATAAGACGCAGAGAAGATTTTCCAAAAAATTAGACATTTTCACCATAATTATAATTAATAGAGTCCCGCCCTGACACCAGAACCCCTGACCCTAGGGCCATGTAATTCACAATCTTTCAAGAGACACCCTTAATCATCATTCCTATGTAGTTAGTTTGTTTAAAATACCCAGGAGCAGAGGAGAACATTTTCAAAACGCGAATGCATATTATTCACTATAGAATTTAGAATAGAATTTATTACCAATCAGAGCCCATTAGGCATAAACATATAACATATATAATTACATATAAACATAATATTAAAGTAATAGACAGAATACAACATGTGGTGAAGAGCAATTCTTCTATTAAGTATATATATATACTGATATATATGTTGGTGGCAATTTAAGTTTCATATACAGACATACATGATGGTTTGTTGTACAAAAAAAAAGTGTGCATAAGTATTATTCATGATATACATATATATGTAAATATATACCTATCAAAATGCATAAAACTATGTTTGAAACATCAACAGGAGGCAGCAAGAGACGGTGCTAAAGGATATACAGAATTCCACTCATGTAGAATAAACAGACATAAAATTTATGGAGATAAACATATATTATATAAATAAATTATACATTGACACATGTGTTAATTAAACTAAACTACAATGGACAGCAAGAGTCAGTGCTGAAGGATAGTATATTGTTATTATACATGTATTAAAGTTATCCACTTCTGTCCAATGTAGAGTATATAATACAACACAAATATCAACAACACCTTTACATAGTGTAGCATAATTATCCAACCAAGGTACTTCAAATGATTTTGAATTTGTCGAACTATACATGACTTATGAATTCACACAATTTGAACAGCACATCAACATCTTCACAGTTCATTAACCATAAAAATTGGGTTATTTTTTGACAAGCTATTAAAAAGATGACACCTCATAGATATCATGGATAGTAAATTTATTCTTGATTGACTATGGCATGGACAACTTAAAAGAAAATGTACTTCATCTTCTATCTCTTCTATTTTACAATTGGGGCATATTCTCTCTTCTCTTGGAATACCGTAATGTCTACCTTTTTCAATCATCAGATTGTGAGAAGATATTCGAAATTTTGTTAGAATCTTCCTTTTCTCAAACTTTCTTAAGATTAATGAATAAGGTTTTAACCCAAAGTTCTGTTTAATTGTGCAGTAGGTGTCCAATTTCCCACAATTACTTAATTCTTCCTTCTTTTGATACCACTTTTCAAGAAAATATGATTTTAGAATGCATTTACAATGATATTTAAATGTTGATGTAGATGATTTCAGATGAGGTGTTAACTGAGGAAGAAGTTGTTTAAACATATCAATAGAACCAAACCATGATAAATTGTTTTTATTGAAATTGGATACCGAGGTAGTATGTACGCAGCTTTTAATAGAGGATATGTGTCATCCAAATTCTCTAACCTATGCCAGTATTTCAATATATTCTGAACAATACTGAAACTCATAGGGTGTCTACCTAGTTCTGAAAGGACTGCAAATTTTGTACTTTTGTTCTTTACACCTAATAAAAATCTACAAAACTTGTAATGTAATTTCTCACAAAGTGACTTAGAAAATAATTCATCCAGTGCAATGGGTCCATTTCTAAATCGTGAAGTAGTGTTAAAGGCCCCCCAAATTTCACTACCGTAAAGTAATATGGGTTTTATTGTATGATCATATACATGTAAAGCTGTGTTTATTTTAGGGTTCAATGATAGGAAATTTTTTTGTAATTTAAAAAATGCTTTTGAAGCTTTTTTGTAAAGTTCATCCTGAGCAAGTGTAAAACTTCCAGATGCAGTGAAATGTATGCCCAAGTATTTATAAGAAGTAACACATTCAAGAGGTTCTTTGTTTAGTGTGAAGTTTTCTTTCAAGTGTCTACCTGCTTTATTAAAGATTAATACTTTGGTTTTTGAAACATTTACATCAAGGCACCAGTCAGTACAGAACTTATCAAGACAATTAAGTTTTTGTTGAAGTCCTTTTGATGACTTGGACAATAAAACTATATCATCTGCATACATTAGACAATGAAGTAATTTATCGTGTAACTGAATATTATCATCAGTTATATTATTGAAGTATTCTGGAAGATTATTGATAAAAATTTTGAATAAATTTGGACTTAAATTGTCTCCCTGTTTAACTCCTAACTTAATAGGGAAAGTCTCAGTGACTTGATTGTTTAACTTAATGCATGATCTACTACAATTGTACATACTCTTAATTACATTGTAAAATTTAGATCCAACACCAATTTCTAGCAGTTTAATTTTGATGCCTTCATGTATTACTGTGTCAAATGCTTTTCTAAAGTCAATGAAACA